TTAACCACTGGAAGTGGGGACGGATGGAGCTCTATGGCCAGCGCCTCTCGTTGTGGGACCCTTCAGACGTGGAAACAAACTCATCAGCCCTGACTTTGGATGCTTCCGACAGGGTGGCCCCGGGTGTTACAGGTTTCTGGCTGAGAGCAAGGGGCCAGGTACTAGTGCTAGAAGAGGGAAAATCCATCAGGATTAAGAACACCTGGTACTGGTGTGCTTCTGGTGTGGGTCCAGGGGTGAGGGATGTGTGGTGATGGGCTGAGCAAAGTGCCTGCTCTCCAGGGGTTCACGTTGGGTGATGTCATTGAAAATACACAAATGGGGACTTCCCTGGTGGTCCAGTGGTTAAGATTCCATGCCATTGCAGGGAGCACAGGTTTGATCCCTGGTTGGGGAACTAAGATCACATATGCCACGTGGCACGGCCAAAAAAATAAATAACAATTTAAAATAATAATAAAAATACACAAATGGACCAGTGTTTTCACACAGCAGATGGTGGTATGATAGAGTTGATGGCCTCGAGGGGCTGAGGCCTCTCCGAGGAGACAAATTCAACAAGGCCCAGGTTGGGTCTGAGGACAGGTGAGCCACTCAGAGACCACCTCTAGGCATGGAATGAGGTGGAAACCAGGCTAATCTGCCATGTATTTCCTTTTTATGGGCATCCCTCATGGCTCAGGTGGTAGAGAATCAGCCTGCAATATAGCAGACCCGGTTCGATCCTTAGGTCGGGACGATCCCCTGGAGGAAGGCATGGCAACCCTCTCCAGTATTCATGCCTGGAGAATCCCATGACAGAGGAAAGTGGCAGGCTACAGTCCACAGGGTCGTAAGGAGTTGGACATGGCTGAGCGATTAACAATGTCACTTTCATATAAGCTTACTTATATGAAAATTCTTACTAAATCTTAAGTGCATTTAAAAACTACTTTTACTCAGGAAACAATAAAATGGGCCTCCTAGAAAACCCAGGACAGAGGGTCACCATTCTCTTGGGAAAGGAAGTGAGTGGGGAGCGTGCAGTCGGGCGGCTCCTAAAGCCTGAGGGCTTGGTGGGGGCAGTGCTAAGAGCTGGGTCTCTGCAGGAGGACCCCAGAAGACTAGCCAGCAGCGAGGAAAGGTGCCCACACTGGCCACCTCCTCCTCATCACCCCAGTCCAAGAGGACTCAGGTTTGCCATTTAGAATAATAACAGGATGGACCCCACGGCCTTTAGCTCCAGATTCTGGGGTTGATGACCTCTCACACCTCAGCACTGAGCAGATAAAGTCATCACAGTTTGATTCTCTTACAGCAGGGCTGGCAGATGCCCCCCTCCCTGTCTTGGCTTCCACAGATGTGGTGACTGACACTTGCTTTCCCGGAGTTCCCACCAAGCACCATATGTTGGACACACAGTAATTAACATGGCACCAACTGGAAGGCAGGTGTTCCAATGGGGGTGGTTTAGAGCGGGAGGTGCGGACTCAGGCCTGGGTTGAGATGGGAGTGCGGAGAAGGGCCCCTCGAGGGGCGACCCAGGTCTGCTCATGCGGCCCACCAGTCTCTGACTGCTCTGGGGGGTGCCTGCTCTGTCTCCAGGCCCCCCACTGCCCAGCCCCTCCATGCATGCGCCTGAAGCTGCTTCCTTCTAGGGCTCCACGTGCCCCCGGCCACCTGGAAGCTGCCTGACAGCAGGTCTGCCCACCTGCTCCTCACACCTCCCACCAAATCCATGTCCTCTGACCCCAGAGCGAGCCACCGAGGAGGACATGGCAGGCGGGCCAGGTGCAGGAGGCACTCAGAAGAGCGCCCGTCCCAGGGGGAAGCCTGGCTTGGAGGGGCCTAGGCTGACACTGCTGGCCTTGGGAGAGACCCTGCACTAGGACGGGTCAGGAAAGCACTCCCCCCATGGGGAGGTGAGGCCCAGCTGGAGCCCAGCGGCCTGGAAATGCAAGCTGCCTTCTTATCCTCACCCCTCCCCTTGTCAAGAACCATGGGCTTCCCTAGTAGCTCAGATGGTAGAGTCTGCCTGCAGTATGGGAGACCTGGGTTCAATTCCTGGGTGGAGAAGATCCCCTGGAGAAGAGAATGACTACCCACTCCAGCATTCTTGTCTGGGAAATGTCATGGGCAAGGAAACCTGGTGGGCTACAGTCCATGGAGTTGCATAGGGTCAGACACGAGTGAGAGTAACACTTGCACTGCTTTACTCCCCAAGAAGGCTGTCCAGTTCAAAATCAGCTCCAAGACCCAGCTTGGAGTCAGGACTGGTCCTACCAGGAAAATTCCATTCTCGGGGAGGCCAGAGGATGAGGGAGCTGGGCTCGGGAGATGGGGAGGAGGGATGGGAACTCTTTCCTCACCCCTCCTCCCATCCCCCCTGCAGGTCTGGTGGCTTCTTTCCCAGGAGAACCAGGAGCCCTCACCCCACTGGCTGCCCCTAGCACCTCAGCACTTCCTGCTCCCACGACCCTGAAACCTCAAGGCAAACTCTGGAAAAATTGTGGGAACTGGCCACAGGGATGCAGACCACCAGGAGGGCCAGCTCATGTTCCCACATTCCCAACACCCCTGGACAGGCCTACTGCCCCCCCAGAAATCCCTCATTCCCCTCTCCTCCCAAGACACCTGGGTGGGGAGCAGCTTCCCCCACCCCGCACCCCAACCCCACCAGGAATGAATGTACAGCAGGCGTCAGCAAGCCTTGTCCACCATCACAGGGGGCCACAGAGTCCCCGGATGTCAGACCTGGAAGGAAGCAGGTTATGAGACAGGCGGGGACTGGGGACCTGGGGCCCTTTGCTGCAGTGCATGTACCTGGACAGGTGTCCCCTCATCTCTTCAAGCAACAGATACAAAGAAACTGTGAGGAACTGAAACTAGCGGCTTGCCTGCACAGCTGGGGCAAGTCATGAACCATAAGGTGCAAAAAGCCAAAACCCAACTGCCATGATCCCTGTCCACCACTAAGGGGGCGGGCAGACCCCCTAAGCCACTCTCCCACCTGACCCACCATACCCTCACCCCAGCTCATGCCCACCCCGCCCCCCCGGAAAGGAGTTGGAGAGAGCCCATGCCCGCCCCCCGCCCCCCGCCCCCCGTGTTTAGAGTTGCCTGCGGCCCACAGCAAGGTCTCCAGGCTGAGGACCCAGCTGCACAACTCGGCATACTCAGGGCAGGTGGCTGGCCGCTGAGAAGCCTGCTGGCCTCCACCCCACGCCCCCGGCAGCAGGGCTGTCCCAAAGCCAGCGGACCCTCGTGGGGCGGTGAGGAGGAGGGTGTGGGAAGTTTTCGTTTCCAGACGGCGCTAGCTTGCACAGGGAAGAGGAAATGCTCAGCCAGTCCATTCGTCCAGCGAGGGCAGGGGAGAGGGGGCCCTCCAGGAGGTGGGAGGCCAGACCAGGGAGGGGCCCTGCTCCCATCTGCCACCAGGTGGCAGCAGAGAGCACCATGCCCGCCCCTTCCTGGAAAAGAGGAATCTGGCTGGAGTCGAGTTCCTCTCCATCCCTGGACGGCCTTCACCCACCAACTAGCCAGTTAACTGCCGTGATGCACAGGCAGTCCAGAGGGAGGCAGAAGGGGCCATCCAGAACCCAGGAGTCAGGACATCTGCTTGTTGCTGGTGTGCCAGCATCCTTGTTCTCACAAGCTGAGAAGTCCTCGAAGTTCTGAGCAAAGGATAGCGGATGCTCTGAGGATGCTGGGCAGTGGGGATGGAGCTCACCCTGGCTGGACCACAGATTTTACCCAGCCACCAGGTGGTGACTTCCACCTACACATCACTGCAGGTGACTTCCCTTCTTCCAGTCCCCAGGTCCTCCCCAGGACACTGTCCCCAAGTGGCCCACCCCATCCCTGCTCCCCCTCCCCTCTTCCCTTTGGAACAAGACCTCACAGCTTATCTAAGCCCTGCCTTCTTCCTCCAGGAAGCCTTCCTCCTCCAGGAAGCCTCCCCCAGCCAGGGAAAGGTCTGGCATGGTTTGGCAGGGGCCTGGGGAAACGGGCACCCCCACATCTCTGTGGGAGACTGGGGGTCTCTCACAGATCCAAGGCATCCTCTGGTGGAGAGGGTGGAACATGGGGAGAAGACAGAAGTCCAGGGAGGAAATCTGGTCAGAGGGGTGTGGGCTGGTGGAGGAACTGCCAAAGGGGGGCTGCCAACCTGGGGGGCTGCTCACTCCCACAGAGGGGACCTTCTCTCTCCCACCCCAAGAACCACAATGGACAGAGAAAAGGTTGGCACAGGCGGCAAGCGCTCCATGGGGCTTGTTAACAAGGCAGGAGGGGGAGGTGAGGGGGGACACGGGCCTGAGAGCAGGAGGCTTTAGTCGTGTCTCTGGCCCCGAGCAGCTGTGTGAACTGCAAAAGTGATTTTGTCTCTCAGGTCCTCAGTTTCCTCGTCCACGACGTCAGGGTTGGGACAAAGGCAGAAAGGCAAAGAGCTGCCAGGAGCTCTGTCTTCAGAAGTTCATGAGCTGGGGAATGTCTGTCCGGGGTGCAGGCTGTGCCACCCTGAGCCCCTGCCACCCCCACGCTCCATGCATTGAGGACAACGCTGCAAGGCAGGCTGGAGCTGGGGATGACTTGAGAGCCCGTCCCCAGGAAAATGCCAGACAACAGTGGCTGTGTCTTTCTTTGGTTCCTCCCTGTAGACTCCAGGACACTAAGCCAGGTGAGGGGTCCCCTCCAGCAGAACATTGGGATCCAGCATGGGTGTCAGTGGTCATGTCTGACATGGCTCTACCCTCTCCAAGCCCAGAGATGGTAAGAGGAAGCCCCCCACAGAGGGCAGGCCCCCCCTCCCCCGTGTACACTGCAGTTGTCATAATCAGACAGCGGGCTTCAGGAAGACCACCTCCGGCTCAGATCAGATGCTGAGTTCCAACACGGCATGCTCCAGCCCCGGGAGGCGCTGCCCATCGACAGCACAGAGTTTCTCGGCAAAGCTGCAGGAGGGGGCAGAGGTGAAGCTGTCCGCTTGGGGGCACAAGAGCCACCTGGCTTCCGGGCACATCCTACAAATGCGTCTCCTTCTCCCCAGCCATGAGGCCCTCCTTAAGTGGGGCGGGCCCGCAGTCCCGGCCGCTGCCACCATCCAGACACTGGTGTCTCTTGGGCTGCGGCAGGCTGGGGTCAGGGGTGACGAGCTGCCGCAGGCGCTGTGGGGAGAAGAGGGCGTCAGTGGTGCTGTTGGCGAGAGAGGCAAAGACAGTATGTCTTCATGTCTGTGTCCCCAGGGCTGAGTTCAGAGCCCGCCCGTGGGGGAAGCTCAGTACGGTGAGACTGAATGAATGAGCACAGATCTCGAAAAGAGAGAGGAGGCAGTGACATGGTGACAGTCCTGACATCTATGCAGCCACAGGCAACCCACTGAACCACTCAGTGCCCCGTCTGTCAGATACCACACCTCAGAACAGTGCCTGGCACAGGATCAGTGTTCAGTGTCTATTTTGTTCTTATTATAACTATTCTTATTGCTACTGCTATCAAATACTCGGTAAATGTCTATCATTTTTCTTCCCAGTAGTACTACTGCTACTACTATTGCTATTGATGCCATCTCCTTGCCTTGAATGCAGATGTGATGACTGGAATCATGACCATCTTCTTGTGACCATGAGGTGATAAGTATGATGGTGAAAGGACAACATGAGCAGGATGAGAGTGCAGGAACAGAGGAAGCATCTGGTCCTTAGTGGCCTCTTTAGGCAGCCGAAACAAATGCCAGAAGCCCTAACTCTGATCTTCTTCATGTGTAAGAAGACACTAAGCCTGTTTGTTCACTGCAGTCAGGTTTTCTGTGACTGGTAGGTGAGACAGATTCCCACGTATGTAATGTCTTTGTGGGACACTGGCTCTGTGTCTTCCAGGAAGGCATGTCCTACACCCTAAGCATGGAGCCTTTTGCAGAGGGTTCGCACAGGTATAAGAGAAGGAGAAAAGCTGGGAAACTGTGTGGGTGAACCGTGGCTGCTGGTCACCAATTTCCGGGAGCAGGAATCTGTGCTCTGTGACCCACTCTGTCTGGCACCTTTGAGGTCTTGTTTATAACTTAGTTTCCCAGGTGGTGCTGGTGGTAAAGAACCTCCCTGCTAATGCAGATAGACGTAAGAGACGCAGGTTCGCTCCCTGGGAAGACCCCCTGGAGGAGGAAATGGCAACCCACTCCAGTATTCTTGCCCAGAGAATCCCCATGGACAGAGGAGCCTGGTGGGCTACAGTTCATAGGGTCACAAAGAGTCAGACACAAATGAAGCGACTTGACATGCACACACACCCCTTAACCCTTTGAGAGTTGCTCTTGGTCAGCCTGCCCAGATAATCTGGAGGTCAGATTCTGAAGGTCTAGGACTCTTGACCATTTCTGAAAATGAAGCCATGGGTCTTCAAAGACCCTCCTCCTTAACATTCTGTTAGACAGAAGCGCTGCCTGGCCTCAGAGCTGCCCCAGACATGATGCCCTGCGCATTGTCCAACCTCCTCAGTGCCACTTTCCCAGCCCCTACCTTCTTGAAGGAACCCCGGGTCTTCAAGAGGGTGACGATGATGAAGAGTGGGACACAGCCCATGGAGGAGCCAGCCAGGAACCAGCCGATGAAGTATCCCCAGGCCGGGTACACATAGACATTGTTGTACTTGAGAGGTGTGTACTTGCTCAAGGAGAAGAAAAAGGTGGCCTAGAGAGACAGGGGGAGGGCAGACGCAGATGCAGGAGGGGCCCGTGAACCCTCTCGTTGGGGACGGAGCATAGTTAGATACACTGGTGCTTCTGGAGGTGGAGGGAAGCCATCGCGGACGGTGGGCCAAGGCGTCAGTCACATCGAGAAGGAAGGGAGGGGAGGCGGAGATGCTCCAAGCAGACAGGCAGAAGTAGGCCAGCAGCTGGAACACCAGGCAGATCGACAGACCGACGGAGTTGCCAGAGGAAGGGATAGAGCTGGAACTAGGCTGGATGGTAGTGCTCGTGAAACCAGGAGACAGTGAGAAAAGAGGGGCAGGGGAACCAGCACACGAGAGAGGGCACGGACCTGCCCCCCAAGGAGCCAAGAACGCAGCCCCCTGCCCCTCGTCTCCCGGAACTGACTGGAGACGCAGGAGGGGACATAGGGGGCCCTGATGGGCACATACCAGGCAAAGGCCAGGGGTCAGGAAGAGCCAGGAGATCTTCACCAGGGGCCACGGCCGGTAGCCAATCATGTCTTCAATGTTGTCATAGAAACGGTCTGCCCCTGCCCAGGTGGGTGTAGGGAGAGTGTGAGGACAGGAGTTGGGCAGCGGGTGGGTTTGGGAAAGGACTTGCCTGCTCCGTCCTCCCCACCCCACCGTGTGGGGGAAACTGGATCAGGACACTTGGGACCAACAGGGAGCCCCCTCACCTCCCAGGGCACCTCTGGCCTCCCGTCTAGGGATGAGGACCCACGTCCTAACACACGGGAGGGTGTGAGCCAGAGCGGGCTCAGCGGCCCCACAAGTGCTTATTGCATCACAGAGACAGATTCGGTTTCAAGTAAAAGCAGCGGAACAACAAGGGGGCCACTGAACCGTGTGGGGCACTGGGCAGGGGCAGCATATGCAGCCCAGACTCCAGGCATTCACAATTATTCTCACTATTCAAGGAACCCAGGCTTGTCCCAAGCCCAGCTCCACCTGCTGTAATAAGAAATGCCTGGGTTCCCAGCGATGGATAAACCTCAAGTAAAAAGAACCAGGGCAGAGACTTCCCTGAGGGTCCAGTGGCTAAGACTCTTGTGCTCCCAGGGCAGGGCACCTGGGTTTTGATCCCTGGTCAGGGAGCTAGATCCCACATGCCCCAACTAAGAGTTCTCATGCCACAACTAAGACCCAGAGCAGCCAAATAAATAAATACAAAGTAAATATTAAAAAAAAATTAAGAACCAAGACAGCAGCTCAAAGAGCCACAAAGACCAGAAGGCCAGCTTGCCGGTCCTTACCTGGGGCAGATCCAGCCCTTCCAGGGACCCCAAGGCTCCCCCCACCACTTACCATACACCCAGCTGATGCAGATCACCTCAAACACGGAAAGGAAGAGCAGGCACGTGCCGCTGCAGGCATAGTAATCAAACAGCTGAAAGAGGTACATCCCGCCCTGCAGGCAGGAGATGCAGCTGAGGCTTCAACTTCCGTTGGGGCGGGGGTGGGTGGCAGGGGACACACCCTGCCCCACCAGAGAAGACAGATGCCCACCTTGTGGGCTGCCACCCTGCTCGGCCCAAGGAAGTCGTCCCTTGCAGCTAGAGTTTGCCCTGCCTGTCCCTGCCTTCCAGGCCTCATCTGACAACCGTCTCTGACCTCAGCGAGGACCCTGGGGACTGTGGTGTAGATCCACTGAGTTGTCTGCCCAGAATCCCACCTTCTGGAAGGTGCTGTGCTGTGGCCACCTCACTGTGAGTGTGTGCGCCCCACTCCCCTGTTTCAGGCCTGAAGAGGAGCCACGGCTGACTCTCAGGAAAAGGGCCCTGCGTCCCCAGGGTTGGCTGGTGGCACAAGGGAAGCCCAAAGCTGCCCCAGCCATCTGTAACATCCCAGGAGGAAAATCTGCTCAAGAATGACATCACCAGAGGAAAGGGAGGGGGGGCATCTCTGATGATGTCATTGGGGTTGCTGGATCTAACCGAGCCTGAAACTGAACATCTAGACTTATCAGTTCCCTGACTCAAAAAGTTCCTTTTCCTGCTTAAGCCAGCTTGTGTTTTGGTTTCTGTCACCTGAAACCAAAGGAGAGGAAACCAATACAGGAAGGCTTGACCGTGTGGTCCCTCCAATCTCTCGGGGAGGCTCCGCCCCTGCCGCTCACCTCAGTGACCAGGAAGAGCCCGATCAGGCAGCACGTGACCGCGACGGCGAGGATCAGGAGCTCCCGCCGCCCGCTCCTCCGGAGCTGCCTGGGGAACATGTCCATGGAGGCCGTCACCAGGCACTCCATACAGACAAACTGTGGGCCGGAGGGGGCTGGTGAGAGGGATCACTGCCCACACCCGCTCCCTGCCCCCCACCCCCATGCTGACCCGCAGAGTCAGGGGCACAGGGGTCAGGCTGGGGTGAGGCCACCCCATGTCTCCACCACAGAGGGTCCCAGCTGGGAGGGGGATGGGGAAGGGGAGGCTGGGTGGCCTGAGGGCGTGGGAGGGATGTTTGGGAGGGCATGTCCATGTCTGCGAAGGGTCAGGCCTGGGAGTGGAGGTGGGGCGGGGTGGGCAAAGGAGGCAGCCCCTCACAGAAGAGGGTCCCTAGGCCAGGGGTTACCCCCACCCCGCCAACCTCAAGGACGGGTCCTGGTCATGGGATGGAGGGGAAACGACCCTGGGCTGGGGCCAGGGGACTGGGGAAAGTCCTGGCAGGGAGCACAGAAGCTGGGAAGGGGTCCGCAGGGTGGGACGGGGTGGGGGTGGGGCAAACCTGGCTGTCCAGCCCAAGGAAGATAAGCATGATGAAGAAGAGGCAGGACCACAGCTGGGACAGGGGCATCATGGTCACGGCCTTCGGGAAGGCGATGAAGGCCAGGCCAGGGCCTGCCGGGCACACACAGCATCAGGGGGGCCTGCCCGCATGCATGTGTGCACGTGTATGTCTACCTGCGTGTGCTGGCTGAGCCCATCCGCCACTCTGGGGAGCACACTTTCCACTCATCCTGCCATTATCCCATCCGTTCACCTCTCCCTCCTCCCTCCCCTGGTTTTGGGGTCCTGCCCTGTGCCAAGCACTGCCCCCCCCAATGCTGAAAGTTTCCTAGTATCCAGTTTCCGGGACCCCCACCCCACCCTCTGTTCCCTGCCCATCCTTCCCTCCAGGTCCCAGGCAGCACCCACCTGACTCGGCCACTTCAGAGATGGGCACGCCCTGCTCCCGGGACATGAAGCCCAGGATGGAGAAGACCACAAACCCGGCCATGAAGCTGGTGCCACTGTTGAGGAAGCAGAGCGCGATGCTGTCCCTGCGGGAAACGGGAAGGAAGAGGGAGAAAGAAGCCCAGTGTGCGAGGAGATCCAGAGACAGTGAGCGGTGAAGGGGAGGGAGAAAAGGAGGTGGGGGGACGGAGACCGAGGCCAGCTACCAGGAAGAGAGGGACAAGAGCCCAGTCTGGAAAGCAGACCACAGGGTCGGATTTGTGCAGTTTGGGTCCCCCACCCGCCCCTCCATCTCCGATCACAAAGGAGGGAGGCCCCCCTCCCACCCCCAGGCCCCATCCCTGCTCACCTGTAGCAGTTGTTGCGGTACTTGTTGTAGCTGCCCAGGGCCGTCAGGCATCCCTGGCAGATGGCGAAGGAGAAGAAGATCTGGGTGCCCGCGTCCATCCACACCTAAGGGAGGGAGACCCCGAGGAAGTAGCAAAAAGATGGGGGGAGCCTGCAGGGAGCCTGGTGTGCGTGACCACACAGACCCCCATGAAGAGCGGCCCCTCTGCCTCCCCTCAGAGCTTCCCACGTCCACCAGCGGGTCCTCCTCCTCCCCTCCTGGGAGCACAGCAGACATCACGTGTGTGCGTGCTGTCCACACTAGCTCCAAGGCAGCTAGTGTGGACCATGGACTTCTGGAACCGTGGTGCATCCTGGCTGAACGAGGGAGTGGAGGGACAGTGGACGGAGGAAACACTATGCAAGTGGTAAGATGACATTTACAAATGAATTTAATAACACGGAAGATGCTTCCACTGTCATTTAACTGAAAATATATTTATCTCCACGTATAATTATCACGACTATGTGAACACACACACACACACCCAGCCAGAAAAAAATGTTGCAAGAAAATGGAATAAAATGCTAACAGAGGTTATAACTGAGTGGTGAGATTAAAAGAGGTGTTTAGTTCCTCTTTTTATAGTTTTCTTCTATATTATCTCTCTTTTCTGTGGTGGGCATATTTTGCCTCTACACCAAGGGAAAAGCAACCAGAAGTTTTTAGAAGTCCGGATCTGGTTTGGGGCAGGAGATGCCTAGGATAAGGGTCCCCAGAGAGGTTCCTACCTGGGGGTCCTTGAGCCGAAGCAAATCTGGTTTCAGGTAGTAGATGATGCCCTCGTAGGCTCCAGGCAGTGTGACGCCTCGAACCAACAGAATGACCAGCATCAGGTAGGGAAACGTGGCTGTGAAGTAGACAACCTGCGGGGGGAGGCCAAGGTCACCCCTCTCCAGACAGTGCACGTTCTGGGGGGTCTGGGGCTCCCCAGCACAGGGTGAGACACACATCAGTGGGCCAGACTGGGGCAGGGGGAGGCTGGGGAGGGCTTATTTCACCCTGCAGGTTGCTTGCTTATGTATACAGGCCTTTGACAGTCATGTCAAAAAAGAAAGACTTTCCCCAGTGTTGAGCTAAACCCCTTTCCCAGGACGTCCCCTGTTCTCAGCAGACCCCTCCCTTCACTACTTTCTCTTTCAGGTCTCCAGGGGAATGCCGTGGTGGTGGTGGTGGTGGTGGTAGGGTCCCTGCAGACTCTGGGGGCCACAAAGAGCGTTCCCGGAGCCCTGAGCCCCTCACCTTGCCTGTGATCTTGACGCCCTTCCAGATGCAGAAGTAGCAGATGACCCAGGCGAGCAGGAGACACAGGGCCAGCTCCCAGCGCAGGCCACCCAGGTGCTGGATGCCAGGGCTGATGCTCAGAACACGTCTCCTGCAGAAGAGGGGTGGGGGGGTGGTTACACCGCCAGGTGAGGCCGAGGGGACAGCAAGCCGCCTCCTCTGTCATCATCAGGTGTCCTGATCCTCAGATCTGACCCCACGGACCTCAGTGTCCAGGCCACCCCAAACCCTGCCCCTCCCCTGCCCCATGGACAGCACATTCCCCACTGTGGTCTTTAAGCCCCTGGTCATTAGGAGAACAAATCACGTAATGCCACAGGTATGTCTGTCTAACTTATCCAGCTTTCTCTGTTGTTCAGAGAGAGACAGAGACAGGGTGAGGGTGGCACGTGCCTGGGGAGCCCACGGTGGGGCAGAGCTGGTGAACAGGTGGGTGAGCAGATGCCTGGGGAGCAGAGGGACTGGTGTGCGTTGGGGTTGGCAGGTGACGGGTGACAGGAATGTGTGAGCCAAGGGTTGGAGGGCATGAGGGTGAGTGTGGACTGGGCGGGCACCCTTGGGAGAGTATTGGCAGCTACGTGTGTGCCGAGGTGAGTGTGTGTGGGTTCGGGGTGGGGGTAGACTCTGTAAACACAAAGGTGGACACGTGTGGATGTGGGAGAGGTGTAAGTGCTTGAGTGGAGGGTGCAGGTGCAAGTGTGGATGAGTGTAGATATTTGCCAATTTGTAAATACTCCCACTCGGGCCAAGTTCAAGCTACCGCCAGGACCTCAGGGCACGCAGAGCAGGAAAGGTGAGCAGGGCTGGTCTCCTGAGCTGCGAGGAGCAGCTGGATGTGTGGGTGCGGGTGGGGGAGGGTGAGCAGGCTTGAGTGGGATGGGAGTCACGTGGACACTCACGGAGTCACTCACACCCATGTGAGTCTCGGTGGACACGGGGGTGTGGGGTGAGCGTGAGGGTATGGGCGGTAGGTATGTGAGGGTCCCTCATCTCTTGGTGACGGGGGCGAGTGCTGGAAAGGCGTACACCTGCACCCCACATCCCAGGCCCCGGGCACCAAAATTCCCTCCCCTGGGCCCCCCCGGAGGCACATCCAGGCCTGCTACCTACTCCCAGAATTCCATGACCGGGGACGTGACGTTCTCGGATGGGCCCGTGGCACCGGCTACGGAGCGGTTCAGGAAGTCCATGCAATGCTCTGTGGGGGACAAGGGGGCGTCCGCAGTGGATCAGGCAGGCAGAGACGCCCTCACATCCTGTCCCCCACCCTCTGGCCTGCTGGCCCCATCATTCCCAGTCCTCGGGAGCCCCCACTTTCCAATGTCAGGAGTTGCCCCTCGGGAAGCCCAGCCCCCTCTCCCAACCCCGCCGAATCTGACTGCTCCTCTGGGCTCCCCACCGGCCACCTCTGACCCCATCCAGACGTCAGGCCTGTCCCCTCACCCACCCTTGTGGAACTGCGCTCCCCAGCGATGGGGGACCAGCCGGGCCTACCCTCTGGTCTCCGGGGTCTGGCGCGCAGTAGGCCCACGGTAAACACTGGCTCAGTGGGTGGACGGTGGGGGCAGTTAGTGCCTGGCAGCCAGTTATCACCCACAGTCCCACGGGGCTGTCGGCTGTCAGGGCAGTTGGTTGAGTGACCCTCCGGGGCTGGCCTGCAGAGTGGCCCCCAGCAGCCCCCACATCTCGGCTTGGGGCGGGTTTGGCTGGGAGCCCGGTCACGTTGGCCCGTCGCCAGCCGCCCCGTCCCGGGCCCAAACCAACAGGTACCTGTGTTCCAGGAGTGGGCGCAGGTGGTCCAGGGCAGCTCAGAGGTGAAGGAGCTGAACAGGTAAAAGAGGGCCCAGGCCAGGATGATGATGTAGTAGATGTTCAGATAGGTCTCGATGACCACAGACGCCAGCCCAATGCCTTGGGGACAGGGTGGGGGGTGCGGGCGTGGGGAACAGGAAGGTCTGAGAGATCAGAGTCAGCCCGGAACCCACGGGAGCTGTCAGTGGCGCTGGGAGGACGCGGGGCCACGGAGACACTGCCGGGCTTACTCACAGGCCTGAGAACCCTTTACTCCTTATTTTTCTAAATAAGAAGAGCAGGTGACACCATAGTACAACACGGCCTTAGACCTTCTCCCATCACTGTGGTCTCTCACTGTGATTACACCGTTGGACGCCCATGGGGGGCCTGGCCATTTGCTTGGGAGCACATTTTACCAAGAAGCTGTGAAGACTCAGCTCCAGGGCTCCTCACTTGCAAGCACTCCTCCTAAGACTCCTAAGACCTAGTTTCATGCCTGCATACGATTTTGTATTGTACTTCCCTGAAGACTGCTTCCCCCCAGGTTTTATAAGCTTTGGGTCCTACAAAGCCTGATTATACTTCCTGCTGCCCCTGTAGCCCTCAGCACAGGGTGGATGAGGGAAGGGGGCGGTGGGGATGGGGCTCCTGGGGGCCTGCAGGGGGGCGGGGGGAGGACACTCACCCTGGAGGAGGGGGCAGATCTTCCGCCAGGCTGTGACGCTGCCCTGGCTGGTGTACTGGCCCAGCGCCACCTCCAGGAAGAACACCGGGATGCCGCAGGAGAAAAAGAAGATGGAGTAGGGGATGAAGAACGCTCCTGCGGAGAAAGGGGAGGTGGGCTGAGCCCGCAGCCGCCCCTCAATGTCCCTCCTGCTCCCCCAGCCCCCAGAGGCCCAAGGCAGCTTCCTACTGTTCTGAGCAGGGCGGGTGGAAAGTTTCCAGTCCTCACTCCACCCAGGATAGGAAAGACCTTCCAAGCAAAATGAATGAAAAGGTAGGTGGAGATCCTAATATACACACTATTTACTTTCTCAATGTGCTTCACAAATCTGATTCAGTTTATTATTTTTGGAACCAAAAACATGTGTTCTGTATAACTTGATATGCTTATTAAATTATCAAGTAGGTTACTTTTTAGAGGAAAACTAACAAACAAAAATATCTTGGAAAAATTATTTTCCTTCTCATTCAGAGGGCTTTTTCCCCCTCATATTCAGAGGGTTTTCCCTTCTCTCAGGCTCTGGTCTGAATTGGGCTCCTCTGAGGAGGCCACTCCTCTGCTGGGGGGCTATTCTTGGGATGTGGTTTCAGCAGTCGAAGGCGCTGGCCGGCAGGCTGTGGTGGGAGGCCAGGCCTAAAGACACCCTGGAAATGACAGCCCGGGGTGTCCACCTCCATCATCTCAGAAGTGTGTGCCTGGGTGAACACACTGCATAGTAATGCATAGTTCATTGCATAGTAATAACACTTGGCACTTGGGCTTCTGTCTGTAAAGCCTGCTTCTAAATGCTTTACCAACATCAAAACCCTCACAAAGCAACCTCCCAGGTACTGATGTTATCCCCATTTTACAGATGAGGAAACTGAAGCACAGACTCAGGTGGTCTGACCCTAAGCCTGGGCTTGTAACCACAGTGTTACAATGCTTCTCAAGCATGTTACTGTGTAGAAAAAATAGAAAATATAATGGGAAGGAAAGAGAAAAGCATTGTATCATTGAAAGGTGAAAGTGAAAGTCGCTCAGTCATGTCCGACTCTTTGCGACCCCATGGACTATACAGTCCATGGAATTCTCCAGGCCAGAATACTTGAGTGGGTAGCCTTTCCCTTCTCCAGGGGATCTTCCCAAGCCAGGGATCATACCCAGGTCTCCCGCATGGCAGGCAGATTCTTTATCAGTTGAGCCACAATGGATGCCCTTCTATCAGTATATCCTTCCAATTTCCTTATAAACATATACACATATATTTCTTTTTTTGCAAAAATAAGAACCTACTATGCATGACTTGATAACCATTTAAAAATGTACAGACTTCCCCAGTGGTCCAGTGGTTAAAATTCCGTGCTCCCAATGCAGGGGGCCTGGGTTCGATCCCTAGTCAGGGAACTAGATCCCACATGCCACAACTAAAGATTGGATTCAGTCAAATAAATAAATATTAAAAAAAATAAAATTAATCATGGATGCTTAAAAAAGAGAGCAGGATACATAATAAATGTTCAATAAATATTTGTCAACTTAAATATAAATGGTGTTTAGAAGGATTTTCTAAACAATTGTTATTTTTAAACAGGACTGTTCCTTCTTTTTCACCTTTCTGGAATATTTCTAATATTCACATACATCGTTTCCACAAAAGAATAAAGGTGTTTTCAAAAGGCAAAAATGAATCTGGCCACTCACAAACAAACTCATGTAAATGAATTATTCCACTGATGTGAAATATTCCAAACAGGTAAAACCACAGCCACAGGAAGCAGATTTGTGGTTGCTGAGGGCGGGCCGGGAGAGGGCTGGGGAGTGACTTCTGATGGGTACAGGGCTTCTTTTGGGGGTAATGGAAAGATTCTAGAATCAGTTGTGGTGACAGTTGTGCAGTTCTCTGAATATACTAAAACCACACTTAAAAAGGTGACTCTGGCCCCTCCCCATTACACCCTTACTCATTTTTACTACTGGTGCTAAAACGTGTATAGGTGCTTTTTTAATTAAAAAAAAAATCCTAGACAGGGATCGTGCCTCTTATTTGATCAACATTCCTCAATGGCTCCTGTCTCACTCAGAGCCCAACTTCAGGGTCCAGGTCCATGACCTCTGGTCTCTCCCCCACCCTCCCCCCGACCCCATCACTCCCCTCCTCGTCCCTCCTCAAACAGGCCAGCTGCTCTTCACTTGACCTTGGCCCTTGCCGTTTCCTGAGTTTGGAGTGTTCTTCACCTGAAATCTACCCTTGGAACTCGCTCCTTCACCTCCTTCAATTCTCAGCTCAAAGGCCACCTCCTGGACAGACCCTCTCCTGGTCCCCTCGCCTCCCATGTCTCACCCTTCCCTTCCTGATCCAGTGTCTCCCCACCCCGTCCCTCCATGCTGTTCCGCTTCTGACCCATCCACGCTTCACCACTCGACAGACTGCGGTGGACGTGTTTGTCTGTAACCTGCTGCCTTTCGCTGCAACGTAGCCCAGAGTGTGTTCTGTTTTATATCTAGCAGAGTGCCTGGTGCAGGGTGGCCCACAGTAGGAGCTGAGTGAGGAACTGAGTCCTTCAATGACTGACTTCCTCCTGGAGAGGGGCTTGTTCTGAGGAATCAAGCCCATTTCACAGCGGGGAAGGCCGAGGCCAGTGGTGGAACTGGAGCTCCCCAGGTCTCCCCTACCGCGCCCACCTCAAGTGAACTCACCTCCCCCGTTTTTGTAGCAGAGGTAGGGGAACCTCCAGACGTTGCCCAGCCCGATGATCTCCCCGGCCACGGACAGCACGAACTCCATCTTGTTGTTCCACTGGCCTCGATCCTTCACCTGCTCCCTGGCTTCCTGGTCTGGCCTTGGGCCCTCCTCAGGGGCCCAGGGGACCACTGGAAGCCCCTCCTTGGGAGCTGCGGCTTTTCTGTCGTCTGCAGCCATGGATGGGCTGGGAGGCTGCAGATGGGCGTGGGCAGGACGGTGGGAGAGGCCAGCCTGCAGGGATGAGAGGAATGAGCTGGGCAACCCCAGGGGAGCTGTCACCCCCGCTCTCTCCATTCCAACCCTTCAGCGTTGCCGGGAGGTTGTCTAATAGTGTTGGAACAGATTTTCTTCTCAAATTCTCAGTGACATTTGCACCTCAAGTTACCCTTTGCTCTCATGGCTCCAATAATAAATAGGGAGCAGTTTGCTCTCTTTAAAATGTACATATGTATTTATTTATGGCTTTTAAAAAATTTTATTGGCATAGGGTTGATTTACAATGTTGTGTTACTTTCTGCTGTACTCAAAGCGACTCAGTTATACATATACACACACCATTCTTTTTCAGATTCTTTTCTCATATAGCTCATTACAGAGTATCAAAAAGAGTTCCCTGTAATGTACAGAAGGACCTTATGAATGCAAGCATATTTTTTTAATGGGAACTGAATCTGGATTTTATTTTATTTTTATTAATCTTTACTGGAGTATAGTGGTTTAGGGCTTCCCTGGTGGCTCAGTGGTAAAGAATCCACCCGCCAATGAAGGAGATGTAGGTTCGGTCCCTGGGTCAGGAAGTTCTCCTGGAGTAGGAAATGGTAACCCACTCCACTATTCTTGCCTGGGAAATCCCATGAACGGAGGAGCCAGTGGGATACAGTCCATGGGGTCACGAAAGAGTCGGACACGACTTAACAACTAAACAACAAAAACAGTAGTTTCTTTGCAATGGGAGCAGTTTGTTCTTAACTTGCCCATTTTGCAGATGGGAAAATCCAGGCCTCGGCAGGCGAAGTGATTTGCCTGAGACCACACAGGAACTAGATGGGGATTAAAACCCAGGCTCGGGGACCGTTATCTCAAGTCTCTTTTGATCCTTGCAGCCAGCTGCCATCCCCGCTGGCCCATCTGCCTTAGGTCCCCAGTGTCCAATGAGTGGCACCATTCCAGGCATAAGGGGTCAGAGGCTGCTGGGGGCGACAGGAAGTCAAAGGGCTGCTGTGGCCAGGTATAGCATGGTCTTCCCTGGGCCAGCTGCATGCTCGTCACTGTGCCAGGACGATTGATTGCCTCTGGGTAAACACAGGGCCAACTCGCTCTGGGCATCTGATTGGGAGGGCAGGGGAAGGTGGGGCCACCTCATGAGGCCAGATGGGGTCAGGGTGGCCTTCAAGGGAAACCTGGTTCTTCCCCCTCTCTCGGTTGAACCTCCGTCCTGAGAGCTGGCAAGGATCCTGGAGGTGGAGGGGGTCACTAGAGAGATCCTCACTTGGGTGGTCCCCTCCAATCAGAATGTCCCCTCAAGGGAGACCCAGAGTGAGTACCCATCACAGGCAGGTCATTGTTCCTCCTGACTCCCTACCCTGAAGGGCTGCCACTGTCTGCTCTCCCCGTCCCTCCCGTGGCCCATTTACCGGCTGCCAGGAGATAAATTGATGCCTGCTCTATCCGGAATCCTTGTTTGCCTCCCCTCCCCACGCTCTGCCCGAGGCCACCTCCGATTCTGTTTCCACGAGCTGCCAGGAAGAGGTACCTAGGCTGCAGAGGGGGGCACTCACCCACGCGCCCCCTCCCCGCCCCCGCCTCCGAGGGGCGCTGGGCAACTAAAGTGACCAGGAGCTACAAAGGGCTCTGTTCCTCCAGGGCTCCAGAGAAACACAAGGGATTCTTTTTATTTAAAGAAGCGTCTGTTTACTTGTTGGTCCTTTTAACCCAGGCAACAGCCCAAGCCCAAGTCAGCTAGGAGGGCGTGGCAGGGCCATTTGAGGTTATGGAAATTTTTGAAGGTGACTTGGAGGGTGCAGATTGCCCCAGTAGTGGGGAAGCATGTCCGGGGCAGAAATTCAAGTTCTGGGACCTACGAGGAGGCTTCCCTGGCAAGCTAGGCTCTAGATGGAAGGTGAGGAGAGTGGCGCCTGGTGGAATCAAAGACCTCAGCCTCTGATACTGGGAAGGGGCTGGGGGAGAAGGGAAGGAAAAACAAAGAGGCCGACCCCCGGGGCTTTGAGAACCAAGTCTCAGGTGGAAAGAACAGGGTGTCTGGTCCCAGGAGACACCTGAACCAATGGTGGATGTTGATACAGAATTGAGGCTGGGCACCCTGAAAACTGGCCTCTGAATCCTTATCAAACGAATGAATGGACTTGAAAACACGGACGAAGACGCATCTGATAGGAACTCCAAGGTCTGCTCCAGACCTGGCACAGAATAACAAAAGCGAACCTTTGAGCACTGTGCCCAAAACATACACATGTTTATGTGCATTATTAAGTTTCATCTTCGTAGAAATCTTTGTGCTAGGAATTACTATTAACTCTGTTTTATGAATGATGAAATGAAGTTCAGAGAAATTCAGGAACAGTCCCTGACACCCCCAGTAACTATTTTTGAATGATTTGAACAAACTTACCAGTACTGTAAGCGGGGAGCTGTGTCTTCAGGTTGCTGTGTTCTCTTAGGTAAGTCTCACCTCCTTTCTGGGCTTTAAGTCTCCCTGAAAGCGACAATGACGCATGTTCAACTGTGGTATTGGGAAGCAGGGGACACAAATGAGATCCACAAGAGCCAAGGAGAGAGATTGCCTGTGTTTGCCACACCACAGGGCCTGAACACAGTGTCACCAACAGGGCCGCCAGGAGACAAGGCTCGCTGTCCCCAGAGGTGGCTGTTTCAGGGCCAAGTTGTCCCCAGGAGCTGGAGATGGGGAGAACCCCCCACCCCTGGGAAAGGAGCAAATGAAGGGAAAACCAGAGGAGAGTACAGGATGGGGGGGCAAACCTCAGAGCCCAGGGTGGAGCAGGATTTGGGAGAAGAGAACGTATGCAAGCTGACCCTGATGTGAAAAGTTTTGCTCTGATTTCTTTAAAAAAAAAAAAAAGAAAATATCGAGAGGAGCATGATTTATGGGTAAGGATGAAATACTGAATGGCAGGACGAAAGCAAGAACACATGAAAGGGAAAGCTGGCCCAGAGTCATGACAAGTCAAGGGAGAAACAGGCTGAAACTGCAACAAGCAGCCTTCGAGTTAGACTCAAGGAAGAACTTTCCAGGCGGATGTTAGACATAAAAGCTGTCTGAGCTCTCCCTTTGGGGGGTTAATTTTAAAAGCCAAAAAGAGACTTCCCTGGTGGTGTAGTGGCCAAGACTCCACACTCCCAATGCAGGGGTCCCAGGTTCAATCCCTGGTCAGGGAACTAGATTCTGCATGCCACAACTAAGACCCAGCACAGCCAAATAAGTAAATATTTGTTTAAAAGCTAAAAGGACAGCACCCTGCCCTCCTCGCCCATACTATGCCTTTCCACCTCTGGCCCGTTTGCCAGGAATACTTAAGCAACAGTGTTACCCTCAGTCTCGATGACTTGCAGAGAACTCCCCCTTCCAAGGGCTCACCCCAGCTCTGTCACCTCTCCAGCTCCTGGCATCACCTGCCCAGGCTGCCACCTGCTCTGCTCAGCTGGGGCAGAAAGTGGGGGTGCAAACTGGACCTCACCATCCTTCAGTGCCTCCAGAGGCAAGATACCCACACCCACGGCCGGCTCAGCCCTGCCCAGGAAGGAACTCTTCAAGAGGCTGGCAAGCCCCACATTCACCATTTTTAGGGGCTGGGCAGGTAGGTGGAGACCTGCCCAGTGTCCAGCCGAGGAGCAGACACAGTTGAAAATGCTGCTGCCCAACAGGCCCGGCGATGGGGGAGCGGCCCAGGCCCCGGACGCCCAGCCCCGGCTTCAGCCCACACCCACATACCAGCTCCCATTCTGCACACACACTGGAGCCGCTCCCGTCACGTCCCCGTGCGCTCACATACCTGTGTGCACCGCACCACAACCTGAGCCCCTCCCCCGTCCAGTCCTTCACACCCCATGGGCTGCCTGGCTCAGCCCTCGTGGTCCTCCAGGGCACAAGCCCGCAGCCTCCTCCTCCTCCGGGGAGCCTGCCTGGTGGGGAGTCTGATCAGGTCATGGCCCTTCACCTGCCAGCCTTCCTCCCCACCTGCGGGCACCACCTGCCTGCCTCCCCTTCCCTCTCCAGCCGGTGATCACCTCTCTCTCACCTGCTCCCTGGGGCCAGCCCCTATCCAAGGACTTTCCTCCTGCTATGACACGGGCTTGTCCTGAGCAGCTCAGATGCTGCTGATGGTGCAGCGAGCTGGGGAGGATGCCATGTCCTAAGAGTCCCCAGCACCAGACTTCCCCTCCAGCCTCGCTCATAGCCAGACACATGCTTCCATCCAGTCCTCCTCCCGGGGGGGGGGTCCCCTGAGCCCTCTGTGGCAGCTCTCAGTCCTCCCCATCCTGCATCCCGCTCACCTCATCCCTTTGTCCAGCTCCCGAGCTCCCGTGTCCCCAGCAGAGTCCCCGGGAAGACGCTAAGTGATCCAGCCTGAAAAGGAAATTGTCCCACTCCTTCTCCTGTTCCTCCCAGCTCAGAATCCCATCCAACGTGGTCCTGGGACCGCCCCCCTCCCCCAACCTGGACAGAAAGTGACTGTGTGTGTGTCTGTGTGAGTGCACGTGCACATGAGCCAGTATGTTGGAAAAAGAAGGGGCAGAGAAATGCCGCAAGCAGAAAGAGGGATGGAGGCCAAGAGTCTGTGAACCAGGATTACAACACCCAAGCTCAGGAAGTCTCCTCCGTCCCCAGCCCCCTCCCCCACCTCCCTCCCTCCCTCCCAGCCGGGCTGGTGGCGGAGGCACTGTCTCCGGACGACCCCCCAGAGACCCACCTCCCTCCCCTCCTTTGCCCTGTCCCTTCCCCTCCCCTCTCACCTCGCCCCTCTTGTGTGGCTTCTGCTCCTCTGGAGGGAAGTGGACGGGATGGATAGGGCTGGGCACAGCCCTCTCTCACTGGGCGGTAGGGTGGGTGCTACCAACCCCCAGGCTGCAGGCTGAGATGTGGGGAGGGCAGGGTGGGGAGGAGGTGAATCACCGCTGGACTTTTCCACCAGTACCTGCCC